CGACACAGTTCACTCATTTTGTCCCTTTCAGCTCTAGTTGTGTCCAGCTCACTATATGTTTTTTTCACCTTTGTCTCAGCCTCCTCTAAACTCTGCCTCAACCGACCTTCTTGTTCCTGAGCATTAGATTTGCAGGTCTGAAGGGACTTTTGAAGTTGCTTTACCTCGGAACCTAGGTCTCCAATTTTTTCTGCAAACAAAGATAACATCTAGAATCAAAGCACTGAACATAAACAAGATTATGCAAGGCAGCATAACAACTTATTCTTAAAATTTCATCTTTTTCACTCTAAGTTGGGTATTGCCTACTTGTAATGCGGCAAAACAAATATTTCCACTTCTTTTCACAAAATAAAAATCCATGAAAAACTCTAAACTAAGACTGTTTTTAAAGTCATGGAAATTGCCAGTAGGTACTGAAGCATCTGGTGCATACGTATATTTCTGCATCTATAGAAATGAAGCTATACTAAAATCCTATAAAAGGCTTGAACGTGCAGACAGATACTTAACAAATAAAGACTCATATTTTTTTAAAACTCAAAAGATGAAATTACTGCTTCCATTTAGAAAAGCAAAGTTCTGAAACATACCACACACATTATAATTACTGAAATGGAATCTTCCACAATTATACTAAAATGAAAACGACAACTCACGTTTTAGATCATCTGTTCCATCTTTTAGAAAACTTTCTTTCTCTCTGGCTGTTTGCTTGATCTGGTTCACCTCACGCTGGCTTTTAGTCAGCTCAAACTCCAGGTTGTGTCTCACAGCCTCACCTTTTTCCAGCTGGGACCTGTACTTGGCAACCTGAGTTTCTAAGGATGCAACCTGGATAAAGTATAAATTATAGTAAGTTGAATATACAGAGAGGTTTTACATTGACCGAATTTTAAATGTCAATATGGTCTACATTTCTTTTTCACATCACAAAGTTTTTAAGTGTCAAAATTGTCAATTATTAACAAATCTTGCTTTTTTACCAGATGAATGGATGCTCACTTCTCATTGTACGAAGTCTATCTCTCTCTCTCTCTCTCTCTCTCTCTCTCTCTCTCTCTTTCTCTTTCACTACCTGCAGACAAAATTGCATGCTTTCAACTCAATTGAAACATCTTGGTAGTAGAGAATCTTTGGTTTTATCTCCCTATCACACCTGTTACTAATAAAAGATCTCTTAAAACACTACAATCAGACAGTATCAGCTGATGGAGCTTGGAGACAACATGATGTTTTTTTGTGCACAACAGAGAACTTTGGTCTATCTGCTTGAGCTTGTTACCTTCAAGTGTCAAAGAATAAAATGGTGTGGGCTGTCTTGATTCAAAACAATTGTCAGAGTGAAGGTTGTTGAAAATAAGAAGTCTGAAGGTTATTATAAATTTATTTTTTCGAATTCAAAGGAGTATCTTGGACACTATATCACTCGTTGGTATCCTCTGCTTATTTACTATCTTAGAAGTGTTGCTTTTGACTGTGATTAAATGCTTCATTTTCCATATGGTCTCAGACAGTGGATGACTCACAGTAATAGTAATGACAAAATGATGTTTGTTTCTTGTCTGTTCTTATTACTTATGTACAGTGAAACAACCAAGATCTTTCTATCATCATGTTCACCCTCATGAAAGTTCTGGATACTTGTGTTCTGTTCTGGGCATTGTAGACGTTTTTAAAAAATGGATTTTATATTTGAGAAAAAAGTTCTGTAGTTGACTTAGTGATGGTGTCTTATGGTTCCATCTGTAATGCTTTTTATACTAAGTTCCGTTGTGAGGTAATGTGCACATGGCCTAAAAATTTTGTCAAATCAAAATCTCCATAAGATTGTTTAGGACAGCAATGTTTTCCTTCATGATGAAGGGACTACTTTTCCGATCCAGTGTACTTTACTTTACTTTTCCGATCCAGATGATGAAGGGACAAAAGCTACCATTTTTCCACTTTTCCAACAAATCCTCCAAGACCAAACACTTAGTTTCCTGGTCATAATTTGATAGATTTGATGAAAACAACCAGTGGAAAGGCTACTTCTATGCATTGTGAAGTCAGATCTTTTGTTTGTATCATGTGTCGAATGGGATAGGACCTTATGGTCTTCAAAGTTAAATATTGTCAAGCAGTGCAGGTGCAGAGGGGGGCCAATTTGAAGAATGCACTGGTGCAAGATTACCCATTTAGTCTACTTCTCTGGAGCACAGGTACAGCATCATACGATAAGTCAATTTAAAAAGAAATTGCTTCTTTTATTTATATGAAGTCACTACCCTTTTTATTCCCTCCTGTACAATCTCAGCAATGAATTTTTAACATTTCACATTTCACAGTGATATTTCTATAAAATCAATCCGCAAATCTTGACTGTAGTTAATTTATGGATTAAATCCAATTAATGCAGTAGTGCATTTCATTTAATCTTTTTAAGGTTTGCTATACAGCTGACTGCCTTCTAAAGTCACTTTTCCATATTGGTATATTGGTCTCCAGCACTAATGGCAACTGTTCTGAGTAAATGTTTTTACTTAAATTTCTAGCCAGTCCGTAGTGGTCCCTGTCCAACGCAACAATGGTCAGTCATTTTCTCAACAAGTCAGACTCAGAACCTGCTCATAATGGTCACTTGTCATAGTGGTCACTTGCTTTAGTTTTCTTCCAACTTGCCCTCAGACTGAGTGTGTATGTTCGATCAATGCAAATATAAGCTATGATGGATAGCAATTTAGGTGGAAACAAAATAGAATGATAAAATAAATATTTATTTTATACTAGCTGTTGACTTTGTTAAGTCTAGTAGGTGAATATAATTGCCCATTATGGCCATTTGTCTATAATGGCCTCTTTTCTCTGTTATCTTGAGTTACCATATTTATGGATATTTTTTTACTATAGCTTAACTGATCTTTATCCAATGGTGTGAAAAGTACCGAAATGGACTTAAGCTAATTGCTTGCTACATGTGGTACATGTAGTATGAGGGTGGCTCAGTAAGGAATGGAAGTTGCCTTGCACTGGCTGAGATATTGACTTCTGTCATAAAAGAACACATAATCAATCTACGTGTCTACTCTTGAACCAACCGCTGGATTTTCATGTGACTCTTGAACTCATTATCATTTTATTTGTCACATGATACAAGAAATGGTTTACACACTGAAGGAAACAAAAGAAAACATCCATTTCAACAACTTTACGCTCTGTAAACTTGGCAATTTTTGGAGAGTCTGCTTGTTCATATTATTTATCGTAACACAGTTTGTCTTTAGGTAAGAGGATTGGTTTAGTGTAGGGAGAGACACTGTTTTTGATGACCTGCGTTCTGGCTGTCCAAATTCCTCTATGATGTTATCTAATGTTATCTAGCAACATGCCAAAATCTTAAAGAGACCCTAATGATTTGTCTGGACTTTTGTTCAGGTAGATGTAAAGTGTTATCGGTAGGGACCTCCTTATATATGAAAAAAATGTGTACCCGCTGGATACTTCATTTATGAACTGGGGAATAAACAAGAGAGAGGCTGAGATATATCACAAAGTTGTTCAACTTGTTTGAACCCACAAGCCTGTTAATTTGCTCCCTGGATTTCAAAGCAGAAAGAGGCTTCATATTGTATTTACAGTCACAGTGGTCCCCTAGTCGTTGAAATGTTGCTACATAATACTGCTGTGACTTCTTCCTTGTCAAAAAAATGCTGTTGATGAGCAGAGGCAAAAGATGGGAACCTCTCACTCAGTGCTCCTTTACAACAATGCAGCTCCCCACAGAGTAAGCACAACATCTTTGTGCATTTAAGACCAAGTTTTGCCCTGTGCATATACATAGCTAGATCTGTCATTCAGAGGTGCTAAGCATACCAGAACTGATTACTGCTGTGCCTTACAAAAGTGGCTGTGGAGGCTGGAATTCTGTGCATGCATACAAAGCCCAGGAGGATATTTAATTTGAGGGGACTCTAAAAAATGCAGGTCCATAGCATTTAAAGTTTTCGAAATATTTCACAATTTCCTTTACTTTTATATCAACCCTCATATTTGTACACACAGGAGTTAAGGTGACCTTCATATTTTACTTTTTAAAGTTTTTTTTCCCACAGCCTGTCCATTTTCTGACATGTACATCAGTGCTCTAGGTTTTGCTCAATTACCTAACAAGCCAGTCCCACACTTGTTTGTTTTTTGTTCCTTAGTGTGCAAATTTTGTGAAGAATCTAAGGGAATAATATATTGATACATGGACAAGTCACCACCAGGTGTGGACTCAATATTAAAAGATCAAAGCAATCAAACAAGATGAGTTTGTAGAAATATTGCTGTACAGAAATATTCTTAATTTGGAGATCTGTTCCCTGCTCGTATACACACTTCAGATATTTTGCCTTCGTGTATGTTTTGTAATCTTACAAAATTTAATCCCAGTGACATTAAATCTTTCCGGACGTATCGCCGATATATCACCAATGTTTCACTTTGTCAAAGCATGGGTTTGGTGAAAAATGAGTGAATTAGTTCTTGCGGTCTTGCATCAGCAAAACGATGTAACTGGACTCAGTATAAATATCATGACTCAAACAAAAATTGGAATATTGCTTTCAAATAAAAAGCTGCACATTCAGAAATTTATTGCCTGTATATGATGATAAGATAACTATGCTGATTTGCATTCACATATTTGGTGAATGTAATTTTTTCCGTCAATGTTTATTTCTCTCATCACTATCGCCATTTCTAACTCTTGTAATGCATATTTATGTTCAAAATTAATTCTTGTGTCATGTTGGAATGTATTGTATTCCTCATTCAATTTCCTTCAATTTGATATATCATGTTACGTTTTGAGTGATTGTTATGCATAAAGTTATTTTGTACACCACCAGTGTAGCCAAATTGAGCCACAAGTTAATTATTTCTAGACCTCCAAAATACTATGTACAGAAAGAATTAATTTGACTTACTGGCATTAGAGCTCTACCGTCTAACTTTTTGTTTCATGTTATCCTCAGGTCATGAAACTGCTGAACGTTGAGTGGCTTTACACCATCGTGCCTCCTGAGGCATACTACAATGTGTCTCTCGTGGTCAACATTTTGTCATGCAACAAGTCGTCCTCTTTGGCAGACCATGCTGACGATACAGATGAATCATTAACGGTAGACAAACCTCAAGATCATGATGAAAATATCGGCTCTGGATTCTTTCAAAATCTTCACAGATATTTTGCTTTTACCTCTGATTCTTCCCAACACGCATCTTTCGAGGCTGAAATGGAAAACATTGACCCAGAACCTGCAGATTTTTGTGACAATTTGATATCTATAGATGGTTCCTATCAGATTTTGCTCTTTCATATCTTGACTTCAGTGCTGGTGTTTTTGCTGATTTTTTGCTGTTTTACCTTTTTATGTATAAAGGTGATTTCAAAAAGAAAAGATGTTGAGTTGTCTTTAAAAACTGATGATGGCGACTTGGACCTTGAGGAAGTCAATGAAGCACCACTGCAAATGGAGACAGAAGGGCCGGAAGAATCTGATATTGCCACAAATGACAAGGACGAACAAGAAAAAAAAGATACTTCTCCGTTAACAGTACCAGTTATGGGTGACAAAAACCGAAAGAATGCAAAAGCCTTGAAATCAACTCCTGTTGTGGGGGAATTGTTTGAGGCAACCATTGGGAAGTTTTTGAAAGAGCTTGACAGAGGACTTGAAATGGATGACTGTGGAAGTCCAGGTGGACCAAGTATGAGCCTGCCCTCTTCAGCATCTTCATCAACAGTAAACTCTCTGACTTCTCCTCGACTTCCCAGACGGGGCTTGCACAGAAGCCGTCATAGTAATCAAACCTTCACTTATGGTGATGCTGAGCAACGACAGGCTAAGGAATTTACTATGAAGTATTGGATAATGTATGAAAAGTTTGCCCATCGAATGAATTGGACTTTTCCTGAGAGCAGTCTTGATGATGTGAACATAAGGGCTGCATCTGGTGATGATGATAAACTCCTCAACATTTTGCAGTTTTTGTATCAAAATTCCCCCACAAGTCCCAAACAATTCAATGTGGCCTCATTGATTGTAAATTACAGTTTGTTTATCCTGGAGCAGGAGATGATGTCAATGTCTGAGGAATCGTCTGACCTTGTGAAGTTTGTTCGATTTGAAAGTCTTGGGAGTGCTGCTGATGGAACTCATGTTGGTATGATTGATGGTTATGATGTGATGACTGTGCTGAATATTTCACACTGCTCTGAACTGAGTATCTTACATAACAATCTGTGTAGTGACATTCCATCTGGTCATGTTGTTATTGGGGCAAAACCTGTCAATGGATCTCAAGTTCTTCAAGATAACAAGTGCTTTAGAAAAGCCTTTGTCAGTGGCTTTTATGGATTTTACCTACCACCTCAACAAGTGGAAGATATGGTTGAAGCTATGCTTAAGAAGGCTGTTGTGAAACTTAACAGGGAGCACAAAAGTAAAACAGATCGACTGCCGTTCAAAGTGCAGGTATCTCAAAATAAAAAGTTAACCCTTTGCTTTGACACTCGACTCTTGCAGGGTTTGGGCCTTGGTGTTACAGAGCTCAATGTCAAGTGCACACCAAGCATTTGTCTCTCAGATCCTTCTTTCTGCTTGTTACCTCCTATCTATGCTGTTCCATCTTGGAGAGCTGACCACAAGAAAACCAACGGGTCCACTTCCTCGATTAGCGGAACTTTGGGGAGAATTTTTCACAATCAAAGTCCAGACGTCAGTACAGATCTTTTGTGGAGTCTGAATGTCACCCCTGTAGAGTCCTCCATCTTGCAACACATTGAAAATAAATTTTCTATCAGTGGTGTTGAAAGTCAGCATAAACTATGTATCAGAGTTCTAAAGGCTTTGTTTTCTGAAGGAAGCAAAACTATGCTGTTGAATAAAGGTGAAATCAGCCCATACATCATCAAGTCTGTCATTTGCTTCCTTCTGCTGGAAAGCCCAGCCTGGGCATGGAGTTTAGAAAATCTACCGGATAGAGTTTCCGATTCTGTCCACTTTCTGAAGTCTTCCTTTGAAAATGTGTGGCTGCCAAACTTCATTGTACACAATCCACATTTACTGGGTCAGGTACCTAGTTTGGCAGTCATGTCTGCATTACTGTCTGGCAGGCAACAAAACCTTTTGGCTGACGTTAGTCAGGATGCTGCACTGAAAGTGTTAGATTACATCGATGCAAGACTTCAGAAAAGTGGCCTATTGCACTGCATAAAAGCAGAGTTCTCCCCACAGATGTGGGAATATGAGTTTTTCATGTTTGGCTGAGTTACTTTCTGCACTTTCATTTTAATGCTAAAGTCTGCATGATTAATGAGCCTCAAAGGCTTGATGCTTTTACATATTTGTCTCTTTTTACATCTGTTTTTCTTTCTATTATATTTAACCTATTTTATACATACTTGAATTTAAGTCTGAAGTGGAAAAGGAACCTACCCCTAACAGTCTGATTTTGTGGATACCTTTGGAATGGATTGCAATATATAATGGGTGCTGATTGTAAAATTCACTGTATTTAAATTAATGTCTGTTATTTTGTTACTTTATTGTGAGGCTGTGTTTAAGCACATTATTACAGAATGTAACATTCCTTGTTATTAGTACATGTATATATTTGTGTTTGGTGTTGCCTTTCAAGTTATTTATCCATTGTTGTTTTATTTTGTTGACACATCTGCCCTCTTTTTATTAGTGAAAGGTATCTGCACAATATAATAGAAAGAAGTCTTCGCTCTTAATATGTTTGGGTTTGTTGATTTTTTTTTCAATTTTTACAATACATGTTGTTTTATTTTTTACATTTTATAGCTAGTAGTAATCATACTTGTCTAGTGATCAAGGGTTAAGTTCTGACAAATCTCTAGCTACCCATTGTGAAAAGTACTGCTGAAAACTGAGGAAATATGGTCCTTTAATCAATTACATGTAATTGTTTTGAAAATTGACTTTCCTACCATTTATTACTTTTTTTATTCTATTTTTTTTTTCAATTTGTAAATTATAAGGTTCAAAGTCTTTTTTTTTTACAGTTTGATTTGTTTTAGGTATCTTTTTTTAATCTTTTAGGCTCTTGGAGTTGCCACCTTAAGGTCGTGGGTTTGAATCTCATCAGGTGCCCAACGTTATGTCCTTGGGAAAGGCACTCCACACAAATTTATAACACTGTTTGTGCGTGTGTAATCCACAGCTTGCACTGTATGCTTCGTGGGAAGCCTGAATGTTTCTGAGTGTTCTATGGTCTGCTGGGGTAACATTGATCGTGAAGCGTATAGAGCTTACTGTAAAGCATGGATATACACCATAATAATATAAATGCAATTATTTCTATGTTTGGTCAGTTCCCTAGAAGAAAATAGGGTGTACCACATAAATACATGTGGTTTAATTAAAAAAGTGTGTCACTTTGTGGAGTTTAAGAAAGCAGGTTATTCTCTGAGTAAAATTGTTTTAAATTGTGCATACTACTTTAAAACTAGCGCGCTTGTATTGTTTTTAAAAGTGTTTAAGAATCAGTATTGTTTGTTTATTTGCCTTTCCACTGTGGTGTGTGTTATGTTTTTTGGAGTAGTTCTCATTTATTTGTCAGCACATTCTTTTCTCTGAGCCCATTAGTTCTTGCAGTGAGATATAAAGCAAATCTCTATGCGTTTGTGGTATTACACAAAGTTGTTTTGATTTAAACTCTGCTTTTGATCTTGTGTAGAAATTTTGGTACTTTCCCTGTCTAGGTTTGATTTTGGATCCATCCGTATTGAGAGAAAATGCAAAAACAACAGACTGTTATGATAATCTTTATATATATATTCTTTCATTCTCATTTGAATGAATCAGAATTACATTTTTATATTTATATTTTGACGCTGATGTTTGGGTACTTTTTATTATAATGTTAGCTGGAAATGCTCCACACAAATATTGTGTGAAAACGCAGTATGACTTAAATTCATCATCAGGGTTGTTAACCTATTCTGTTTTATTTCTTCTCTTTCAGTGTAACGTGTTACATGCAATACAGAGAACAAACACAAATTGCTGGTTGTGTAAAATAAGAGTAGGCCTACCGTATTTACTTAAAATTTCCATGGTATTTTCCTCTTGTAAAGGTAACATTCTGGTGCTTTAAAAAAGTATTATTAATCTCTTATCATGCAACTTTTATCAAAATGGGCCTTCATCTTTCATTTTTACTGTAGTAGTGTTTTTATGACACAATATGCTGTGCAATGTAACTTGATGTTTTGATTTAAAATCACCAATATTTAATTTGCAAACCTTTTGCATTGTTACATAATTCAATCCTGTCTTTGGTGTCCCTGATTTTCCCAGACTAATATACTACTTTATTCTTTCCAGATGGTATTTAATCTTTGCTTGATGAATACATTTTGTTGTAAAGTTGAATTGTGTGCAGTATTGAGAAGTTTGTGTCTTAATTTGTCTTATTTTATCTGTAGAATTTTGTCTAGCTATTTTTCTTTAAGTTATCTACTACAAATTCCCTTTAGTCTTGAGTTGTGCTTTTTTTTTTTTTTTTTTTTTTTTTTAGCAAATAGGATGTCCTTGCATTCTTCTTTATGTGAGTCTGTACAAGAGGATAACAAGCAGAACAAGAGTTATTACAACTTTTATGTCAGTAATTATGAAATCCAAATGTCACATTTATGTCTCTTGTTTATTGAATTCAGCATTTTCTGTGGGATCTTTTTTTCTAAAAACAATGTATCAAACTGAAAAGTCATTATGACTCCAATTTTTTTTAAATTCAATCCTGAGTGCACTAGGATAAAAAGCTTGAATTTGGTTACTGACTCTGGAAAATGTTACGTTTTTTACTTTGACTGTGTATGCCCTTTCAACAGTTTTTTTCCTAATGCTCTTTGTTTTTGGTATACTATATCAAAAACAAAGAGCAGTAATACTGTTTGCACACTCCTAATTGTTGTGTTTGTTTAGGCACAGGAATGGGTGACCTTGTCAAAATTTCAAAGTTTGATACACGTTAATCAGTTTTCCAGTATGATGTAGTTTTTCTACCTGAAGATTAAATTGATACTCCCATGCTGACAACAGGACAGGTGTTTTGCAGACTTGGCAGCTTATTTTTGCGATGAACTGTTGAAATTATGTTGAAAAATGTGAAGCGTTCTCACAAAAATTAATGAGTTGCTTCTCGAATTAGAGCCCTATAGAAATAGATACATCAGGCTTATAGTTGAAGCTTTTACAATTTATTAGTATGAAATAATAAAAGGCATGTTGTACTTTAAGAATGTGGCATCAATAGAAAATCTGCAAATTTGACCCTACTGTCGATTTCTGGCCAATATCTCCATTTCTAGATTGCAAGAAGTAATTCATTTTGTCAGCAAGCCTCACAAATAGTTCTCTCTATTTACCCTGATGTGTAGTTAAAAAGTGAATGGAGATAAACTGTTACTGTTGTTTTGTTGTTCTTAAAATGTTATTTCCTGTCATGCAAAAGTTGATGTGAATCACAGGGATATTTCTTTAAAGTTTGCATAGTATTTTCTGAATAATATTGAGCAATTGATACATTTACATTCCACTTTTTGTGCCTTTTCAAGTTTACAGTGTTTCTCACAATAAATTGAAAACAAGTATAGGTTGAGCTGCAGAATTTGCCAAAGTAAATGGAAAATAATAAAACACAATGCCAGTGTTTGCTGTGAGATATATTATAAATGTGAGGCATCATGGTGAAATCTGGCTCTCTTAAAAATAGAATGGATGATACTGGCATTTTTCTGCCAAACAATTTTTATCGAGTTTTTGTTTTTTCGCTTAGCATCTTCATGTCCTTTAAAAACACATTTCTGTGTGGATTTTACTGAAAAATGTTAATTAAAGGGGGAAAAAATGTAAATTTTCATTTCCCAAGCACTCTCAAGCCATGGAAGTCACCAAACTTTGGCAGCCATTTTCTAACTAATTTTATATGAGAATCCATGAGACATCTTGACTTCTGTTCAAGGTAGATGGGTATTTTTTTTCATTTAAAGATAGACAAATGCACAAGCTTTATGATGAAACAAGTAACTCAACATACCCAAAATTTGACGAGCGTCTGATTCCACCACGTCCTGACACATACGCTGCTGGTACATATATACACACCTGCAGGATCATAGTATGGGTGATGTTACATTTTCCTTCACCCTGATTACTAAATATTAAGTGACTACTGATTTTGAATACTGCAGCTGTCGGTGTATACCTGCTGTGGAGAATCTGGTTCTATTGTCTAAAGGGCTTTAAATCATTTTGTAACAACATTGTACCGAATGATGCCCAGTTAAGTCCACTAAAATCTGCTCAGAAATTTTTGATACCTCTATAAACATGTATTTGTCTTAATATAAATGCTGAATTCAACATTTCATTGTGTTTTGCTGTTATGTTATGCAATGTATTATTTTTGCTCTTTGCAATCTATTGTAGCTCTTTGTATGTAAAGGTTTATTGCTGAATGTGAAGAAAACGAAGTATGATGTCTGAAACAGCAGAACACCCTAGCTGTAATCCCATAATCAAAGATGAAAATAGCAAACACCTATCGTGAGTGAAGACTTTGAACATCTTGCTCTCACTGAAAAATTGAAGGCAAACAATGCAGGAGTAGACTCAGAGAGACTTCTCTGGAAAACCTGAATAAATAGGTGACAGTGCATTACCAGGAAATAGACATTTTTTGTGCAGAGAAATGAAAAGAGAACCATGATCACGGATATCAGTTTCAGAATGGCTTTTTATGATGATGAATCTATTATGCTGCTTTCTTCCTGCTATGACGATCGCTCACTAATGCAGAAACTACACAGCACGGTTCGTAAGCAAAACCTAGTTGCTGCCATATGTGTTCATGCTGTTGACTGTCCTGTTTTCAAAAGTCATTACTGTGGCCATTTTAGACAAGTAGAATACAGATAAATACTTTTAAAATTATTTGTTATTTGTTTTTCCCCCTTTTTTCCTTTAGTATGATCAATTTTAATCTTAGAACTTGGCAGATAAGACCAAGTGTATACTGTTGAACTGAATAAATTTGATAATAATATCATCGGCATTCTGTTGGAACCTTGTTAACTTGAATTTTAAAATTTTGCAGGAGAGACAAGAAACTATCTAACAGTACTGTAAAAATGCTAACACTGAAGCAATTGAATAGTGTCTATATATTTTGTTGGGCCTTAGACAAAATCCTGCTAAGAAATATGTGTTTACCTGAGTGCATTTTTAATTTTCTGAGTTGGCGTCAAAATGTCCTTTGGTTAGCGAGGTTTTCCATCTCATACATTGCTCTGTTGAACCTCACTAAGGTGTTAGTAAAGTTAGAATGCAGCAACACGGCCTTGGTTGCTCTTTTCTAATCTTGCTAACTTTGGATTGCCTTTAAATGCACATTTTTAATATAAGCTCTGGATCGTGTTACAATGTTCTGATGGCCGGCTAGTAAGCTATTATACATTTTGCTTAGGCGTAAATTTCTTTATCTCTCAACATATCAGGTGAAATCAATAAAGTAAGTGATCATGTGGAGGAAGATAGTGAGGCTCACTGACCCATGGTGATTGACCAGTTGTCTGATGGAACCTTGCTGTATCATGTTTGCAAGGTTCATGAATTCAATGGATCACTTATGTCTTGTTGGTTGATAGCAAGGTGTGCGCAGAATTTGAAGTGCGTTTCCGTCCATCTAGATTTAATATCGACACATTGTCTATCAAGGTCTCAGGAACCTTTTGGTGGAAAAAAAAAAAGATTTCTGCCGTTAATCAAGTTTGGGAGGTTTCGTCAGAGTACCCACCATATGCTGGAGAGGGAAGAATACTGATCTACTAAGAGAAATGAGTGGCTAATAAGTGGTATGTTTTAGTGTCTGGTTCTATTTTTACTTTTGCATTGTATTTGAAGACTTAGGTGTCCTGATGCTTTGAATGTTATTTATTCATTCTCCAGACTCTAGTCACTTTGTCCAT